GAACAAAACCAAAAGCCCAGTAAAAGTCCTATTCTGATATTTAAAAGTAGACAGGCACCTCTTACGTTTATTCGCGCTTGGTATTCGGCGCTGCCCACCGAGTTCCGCGCGGTGCACCGGTACACGCCGCCGTCCTTGATCTGCGGGCTGGTGACGTTCATGTGGCTGACGGTGGTGCCGTCCGACATGGTGTACTGGTTGGTGCGGTGCCCGCTGTCCCGCGGGATGGGCTCGTCGTCCAGCGCCCAGGTGACGGTGGGCGGGGGGGCCCCCTTGGCAGCACACATCAGGGAGAACTGCTCCCCGGGGTTGACCACCTTCTCGCTGAAGGAGGAGACGATGCGGGGGGTCCCATCTGGGGGGCACCCAGCGGGAGGGGGGTCAGGGAGCGGCAGCCACAGGCAGCAGCAGTCACCCGCCGGCGGGATGGCTTCCAGCTCCCCCCGGCTCAGCCGGGAGAGGAGCCTTCGTCAGCGACATGCGTGGCCGCGCCGGCATCCCGGCGCTGAGGGGCAAGGGGACGCGCCGCTGGACACAGACATCGGCTCAAGGGGACACGTGGCTCGGCAGAGCCCACCCCTCCTCCAGGCATCCAGTGACCCGCACCAGGGAGGGGACACCCAGGGGCAGAGGACGGGCGGGTCAGCCCTTAGTTTGGTCCTTCCCCATCCCGGCCGTGCTGCGTCCCGGAGCGGCTCGCAGAAGCGTGCGCAGCCCAGGGAGCAGCCTGGCCCCAGGACCCCCCACCTCAGCGAGTCTCACCGCCCTCCAGCCATGCGCAAAGCATCCCGGCGCACCCCGGGGGGGGCCCTGCCCCGAGGAAGCCAGCTCACCCTCCAGCGTGATGATGGAGAAGTCCTGTGCCGTCTGGGACTTGCGGGTGGCAAAGCACTGGTAGGCCCCGGAGTGGCTCTTCTGCGCGGCCGTGATGAGGAGGGTCTCGTTGCTGATGCCGCGGATGGAGATGTAGTCATCCACCACCACAAGGTCCGTGTTGCGGTACCAGCGGATGACGTACTCGGGGGACCCGCTGAGGGCACAAGAGAGGATGACGGTGCTGCCGATGCCTGTTTTGAGCTTCTTTGGTGTGAGGGTCACACGCAGAGGGTCTGTGCGAGAAAGGGCGAGAGCAGGCGAGGCGTTGGCGGTGCCGGGTAGCGCAGCAGGACGCGCCTCGTTGTTCCTCTGCCTTTCCTGCCCACAAGCGCTGGCCTGACGATGTGTAAAATGTCACCGCGCGCTAAGGCAGGTGGTCCTTGCGCCATCCTCGCTGCCAACAGCCCCGCTTTTAATGTCCACCCCAGGCCCCAGCAGGGGTGCTGGCACTGGCAGGGAGGCGGCAGAACGGCTGGAGGAAGATGCGGTTGCTGTGATGGGGACAGCGCTGAGCTGGGGAGGTGCCAGCGTGGCTCCCAGCAGGCTGCCGGTGCCCGCTCAGCGCGGGCTCGCCACGGCGCTGCTCCAGGTAAGGCAGGCACGGGGCGGGGCGGCAGCCCGCGAAGGGAAGAACCCCCAGGAACAAAGCACATGATAAATCCTCGGCCTGCCTGGACGGTATTTACTGTTTGGCTGGAGCTTATTTTTATGTAAATCAACAAAACGAAGCGCAGAGGCACCTAACGTAAAACCGACATCGCCATCCAGCAATTTACATCCCCCGGCACCGCTCTGAATTTTCACGCCGCCCCTCTCCCTGCCCGGACTGAGGCGGTAAATCAGGGGAGGGCTGCAGACTCGCTGCTGCAGCACGATAAACCTCCCGCCAGCGCCCCGAGCGCCACATCGGACACGCCGCGACGCGAAGCGGCGGCTTCCAGCCTGCGACGCACTGAAATACGAGGCTTGGAATTTATACGGCTACACAAAACCTCGGAGGCTTTATGTTTCTAAAGGCTTTAATGTTTAAGGCGGCAGCAGGACAGAAGCCTCCCCGCCACCACGGCCCGCTCCTCCCCGCCGGCTCTCACCTATGACCGTGAGGGTCCCCGTGACCTCTGCGGACCCAAAGGTGTTGGTCACCTCGCAGATGTAGGTCCCGCTGTCCTCCACACGCAGGTCGCTGATGGTCAGGCCCGTGATGCGCTTGGCCCAGCGGCCGTCGGCGGGCAGCGGGCGCCCGTCCTTGATCCACCGGACGGCCGGGTTGGGGTAGCCCGAGGCGATGCAGGGCAGCTCCACCGGCCGGCCTGCCTTCACCTCCCGGGACTGGAAGCTGTCTAGCATCGTGGGGATGGACTCTGCCGGGTCTGCAGAGGAGAGGGAATGGGCTCACCCGGCGAAGGGGCGGTGGCGGCGACGCTTCTCCCCGCAGGGACGCCAGGAGAGCCCTGGCACGGCGACTCCGGTACCACTGTGCCCCCTCGGCATCCGTCGGGACAGAGAGGCTCAGCCCGGACTCTGGAGCCGGCGGCTCTGCCAGGCAGGAGCACAGGGAGCCCACCACGTGCTGTGCCAGGCATGGGGGGGCCTGTCCCACCCGGGACCCACGGCCCGGCCCACACTGGCTGGGGCAGCAGGCTTGTGGGGAGGTGGGAGGAAAATGCACCTTACTAGCTGATGGGACGAATAAACTCAGCGCCAGAGGAATTACTCAAGGTGACACCTAATTGGTGCAAAATACACAAATTCTGTGGCACATTTCAAAATTTACAAGCAAATAGGCCCATCAGGCAGCTGGGAAAGGAGAAAATTAATCACCAAGTCTCAGGCGTGAAATTAAATTCCAGGGGAAAGAAACCTCTTTCATTACTCCCAAGCAGAAGTAAAACGCCGCGACGTGTAAATAATGGCAGCGACCAGGAGGGGACTGGGCCAGATCGAACGCGCACGGAACGGGGCCGAGGCACCCAGAGGCTGCCCGTGCAGGACGGCCACGGGTGGGACTCGGGACCCGCGGGTCTCCAAGAGGCTCTGGCACGGTCGGGCAAAGCCCCGCGTTGGAGCCCTGCGCTGCACTCTGCGGGGCTGCGCCAGGGGCTCGCGCGGGAGCCACAGCCCGCGCACCTGGGGAGGGAAAAAGCACGTGGCAGAGAGCGGGTGCGCCACAGCTGTGGCGGGAGCGGCGACGTGGCTGCGAGTCGGGCGAACTCCCTCCCGAGAGGAGTAATTTAGGCAGTGAGCGGAGCCGGGAGCGCCCCGAGACACCCGGCACTCCGGACTGCACTGCCTGTGCCGCAGTATCGCTTGCACGTGCGTCACATCGCGTCAGGCTGCTCACATCGTGGGCTGTCACATCGCATCGCCTCGCGCCCTGTCGCCTCTCGCTCG